GTCTCCCTCTTTCTAGCCTTCGCGCTCTTCGTCACAGTCGTGCTCGGTCAATAATATTCATTATTTATCATTGATTTTTAATTATTTTTTCTGATAGAAAATATTTAATATTTCTACTATGACCATTGACTGTTATGGATTTGATTGACTGACATGCATATTGATAGCAGTACCGTGTTTTGATTTCAGTTGTAGGCTTAGGTGACCTGCTGGGCTTTGTAAAGCTCATTATATGTGGTTGATATTTTCAGGTCCGAGCAAGGCAACTGGAATGGAGTTCGATCAGAATGTCAGACGAATCCTTTCACTATGGATGCCTGGGGCGTCACATAGATATGATATTTTTCAACGGCTAATTAATTTTAAAATGCTTTAAGTTTAAAAATTTTTAATTGGTATTTCAACTCTTCATCGCTTCAACAGAAAAGAAGAAAAAAATGATTGATTTTTCAATGCAACTTATCATCATCAAAAAGCTTTTTTAGGGACTCTAAAAATATTTTATTTTGATAATGATTAATAAGTGATATTTTATAAAAAAAATAATAATCATGATCAGCATAAATCTCGAGGCAAAATCAAGTAAGAAAAACTCGAAATTAAATTCAAAATCATATGAACTCCGATCTCAACAAACTTATAGTCAAACTGAATGTCCCAAAAATTAAGACGAACCCAACGACACCAAATTCAACTCAATCCAAGCTTAGATGGGTCCAAATCGAATACCCGAAGTGACTTTGAAAAGTTCAAATCATAAATTGGCTGACCAACGATTAGATAATAAGCATACTATAATTTGAGATTCTTTAGTCAATTAATTTATGTTCATACGTTTTCAATCATAATTCAACTATTGATTTGTGTTCATTTGAAGTAGAATCATATGACTTATAGCGTTGATAGTTTTCTTGTTGACACAAATTGAAATTCGTATAATCCTAAATTTAATTTAAAAATTTTCCAATTCAAATCTTGCCTCAAGAATCATATCAACTATACGAATTTTCTAATATCATATCAATACTAATCAGAATTAAAAATTTGATGTAAAAAACAAAGCCTTATTCTTTTGTTAATACTCTATAACATACCAACACAATCATTTTCTCTAATACTTCCATCAAAATCATCCACCAAATAAAAAGATTAAATTACAAATGACTACACTTTTATGTTTTTTTTGTTTCTTAACTTAAGATACAAATAGTTCAATTTAAAAATGAGATTTTTCTCACTTATCTTTTAAAAAAATCATCATTTTAATGAAAGGATGAGATGATTTCAAATTAAAAATTTAAGCTTATTTTGTGCTGAAATAAGAATTTGTTATCTTTGATATATCATCAAAAATTTATCTTGGTCGGGCATGAATCTCGAGGCAAAATCAAGTTGGAAACTTTCAAAATTAAATCTGAGACCATTTGAACTCCAATTTCAACAAACTTATTGTCGAACTGAACGTCTCAGAAATACGAACCCAACGACAAAAAATTAGACTCAATCTGAGTCCAAATGGGTCCAAATATAAGACCCGAAGTACAGTACATTTGGAAGGTTCAAACCATAATTTGAATGACCAAATGGCTTTCAAATGTAACATGCTTATAGTCGAATCAAGCGGCTTGACATGACGAATCCAACTAGCCCAAGATCGTTGAATTCTGATATCACTAAAGCATTCAAATTTCCAATAAATGGTCCACGATCAAGAGAATCAATATCGATTGTCGATTCAAACCACTCTCAAATTACATTTGATTTTCCTCATATTTATTAGCCATAATACTCTCAGAAAACTAAAAATAGACCCTTCATTCCTCAAGGAAAGAGGGAGGACGATGAGGGGGCCAAGCAAGGAGGGAAGGAAAGAGATGAGAGGAAGAGAAATCAAATTTTTCATGCCACCAAGCTCCTCCTCGACCATCTCTCGCATTTCAGTTCTTTGGAAGATGAAGGAAATCATTGAACCCTTCGAAAAGGATCTTCTCCGGTAGGTCTCTTCAACTTTTACAAGCTTTCGCCTCTCGCATTTAAATTCCTTGGAAGATGAAGGAAACCGTCGAACCCTTCGAAAATGATTCAAATCTCCATAAGATAACCATCGAAGCTACTCTCTTGGCCTCTCCATCATATATATTTGCTTAAACTATCCTCACTTGTTTTTCTTCTGTGGTTTGCATTTAGTTTCTAGATCTCTAGTCTTTCGAATTCAAAGGATCTCTACTCTTTCTGCTTCAAATATTACGTAATGAATTCATATGTTCTTAATTGCTTTTATATATTTTAATTTCTGCTTAATTATATATTACTCTAATTTTTTAGTACCACTCAACTTAGGTAATGAGTATTTTATTGACATTCACTTTTAGAGTTAGAAAACTTTTCTCTAAACAAATCTCATCATGTTTTTTCCTTAGATCTTTTGTGGTTTGCATTCATTTCTGGATCTCTACTCTTCGGACTTCAAAGAATCTCTACTGTTTGGGCTTCAAAGATTATGTAATGATTTTTCAAATGTCCTGAAAAAAAAAATTGTTCCATGACGGATTTATACCCATTAGATAAAAAAATTGATTGATTAGTCATATATAAGGTCAGCTTGTTGCATTTCCTCTAATGATTGGTGTTACTTCTGCTGTAATTTTCTCAATTTTATAGTTGAAATTATTATACATTTACATGAATACCTTTTCAATAGTTGCTGTTGAAATGAAATTGTTGTACATTTTGTTGGTGCTAAGTTCTGATGACATCGCATAATTTTTTAAGTCTTAGGAGTATATGAAAGCTTCAAAATCAATTCAGATGTTTCTATTTATTTATTTTCCACAATTTTGGAATTTCATTGCTCAAGTTATATTGCAATCTCAATTAAATGAAGGTTGGTTTCCTTGTAACTAAGCAATTATTATTATTATTATCAATCGGCATAAGTTGTTTCTTGTTTAACTGAAAAAAAAAAACAAAACATGAAGGCATGAAGGTTATTGGTTTATATGTGATAGGTGTTGAATAGCTCAACAAATTCATTGACTGAAAAGTGAAGAACATCTAATTAGAAACATTTGTTTGTCGTTCAATCAAAATAAACATCTGAGTACACATACACGGGATATAAGATAAGGATACAATTCTTTAATAGAAGTTCAAATATCTAAAACATCCGATAACAAGAGTTTTAATGCAAGCCAATATAAATAGAATGAAATGCAGGAAAAACTATCCAATCAATAGTAATCATAAACATAAACATATATAATAAACTACTACCAAATAATAAATACAAAAATAGCCTATTATTGGTAACCCTATTCCAGAGGTGGCAGCCTATCAACACGCATGCATGACATGTTCAAAAAGATAACGAAAGAGTTTGATAAATCAAACTAAGCAAGTAACTCCTATTTATCATATCATAAACGACAAAGAAGTGGGGCATGCAATATGAACAACTAGAGGGTAGAAGTAATAACTTAAAGAGATGAGTAGTTATCTATAATCCCAATATCAAAATAGCCATGAGATATGACATGTTTCATACAAAAAAATCTAATATGCTAGTGACATTAATGTATATGGCAATTAAGTTTATATCAATGCAATTATTTTAAATGGTTGAAAATGCAATTACACTAGGTATCACCATACCTCAAAATGATCTATAGTCATTTATTATTTCCAATTTGTGTTTCTTATACTTTCATACATTTAACACACACACACACACATATATATATATATATATATATATATATATATATAAAGCCATTCTCCTTAAAGGAGCCCAACGAAGAGAGGCTCATGTCTCAAAGAAGCTTGATGAGAGAGGGCACTCACCTCAGCCATGAGTAACTCTCTTGAAACATATTTTCCCTAGTCAAGGGGCTCGATCTCATCTCAGAAACTCATCTATTCCAACTAAGGCACTCAACTAAGGAGAACTTATCACTACTAAAAGACCACTAATCTCATTTGCAAGAGATGCCCATCTATTCTAACTCAATAATTGTGACTACATCAATTTAACTAACACCTCAATTTTAGAGGTTACTCACCAGAAGTACTTGCCATAATGACTCACCCTTGAGACTCGTCGAGGGTGTCTAGAGCCACGTCAGATATGGTTGTTCATGCATCACCTCCAGTGTCCTATCCACGGTTCTCTATCCATCCAATCATATATTTATTGCTTAATTCTTTAGGTGTCTCCTATAGCGTTCCCAATCTAATAATTAAATATAAGGTTGAAAGGCATTTTGAGCTTCAAGTTTGTTACTGTTTATAAAGAGTAATGGAATTTTGAGAGCTTTTAGTCTCGTGCATGAGTGGGCCCAATGTATTCCCCGTAGATAAATTTGAATCCAACAAATATATATCTACTTGCTTGTAATTCACGGGATCTTCACGAGAGCATGCAAGCTATATCAAGCAAATATTCTTTATTTTTAGCCATTCTATAGAACCTCATTGGCAAGCTTTGCGTAAGCTCAAATTGTTCAAACCTATCAATCAAGTTCATCAAATTTGACCAAAATCTTCTGGTAAAATTCCACCTTGCACGTCATTAATTAAACACTAGACAATTAAGTTCATTAAACTTTACAAGACCAATTGGTTGAAGTATTCTAAATTGAACAAGCCAATTTAAGCCTAACAAATTTTATTTTGTTTTAAGGAGAAAACAATACAAATTTGTATAACAGAGAGAGAGAGATAGATTTTCAAATTTTATAGTAGGGGGGGATAAATCTGAGTTATTTCAATAACCAAAGATACAAGCTTTAATAAAACATATTCAATAAAATCATCATTCCTTATTTTCCAACAACAGAAATATTGATAAAAAAAATGTATAGAAAAGCAGTACATATATCAAATGCAACTCTAATTAGTTACTCAATCAATAATCTTTCTTTACTATATGGCTATATAAATCCTCATTTATTCTTGCAGCATAGTAATTTGCAGTGCAGTCAAGTATGCCTTAAGCCTTAAACTCAAAGAGGAGGCGTTGCATCCACAGATCCATACTCTTCCAGCTTCCTCCCCTGCTCCGGCGGCGGAGCGCTGCCGCCGTTGATATGTTCAAGACCTATCAGCCTCCTTCCGCCAGCAAACCGCGGAGCCTCCGGCGCGCAAGCAGCTTCTTCAGACTGCCCGAAGCTGTTTATCTCTGCCATTTCCCGGCGCTCAGCCTTCACTGCGCACAAGTTAGGAAGGAAAACTCCTGCAAATATAATAATTAAGCTCAACTAATGGTCAACAATACTTAAATTACACACAAAAAAGGATCAAAATGTTCTTTCTTTTTTTTAAGAATTAAAGGACCAAATTAATATATTTTTGATATATTTGGAGATAATTTTGACATTTCATAAAAGTGAAATGAAGATTTTGATTCTTTTCTCAATTGCAAAATAAGGTCATTTAGGCTTCGTTTAGGACAACTTTCATAATGCCTTTTAAAATCGCTTTTTAATACAAAAAATTTTTGTACTAGAAATTTATTTTAGAAAACATGAAGAAAGCCGTCCTAAGCCTTAGGTTTCGTTTGGGGGAGCTTGTTTTCTACTTCTTAAAACAAATTTTTTATTTTGTACTAAAAAATTGCTTTAAGAAGCAGAAAGAAAGTCATCTCAAACGAAGCCTTAATCATTATAAATTAGGAAAAATTATTACGTCCAGACAAAAAACCAGAAATCTGGATGTATACCGAGCAATACCGAGTGCTCGGTACCGAGCTCCAGATGATGTGGCGTGTAGTTTATTGATCTCTGGACTCGTTAGGTGTCCGGACGTAATAATTACTCATAAATTAGTACCTTCACCGGCCGCAAGATTGAAGTAGAGGTCAACTACGTTGGGGCAACTCTGGTAGCACTCCGGCGAGCAAAGGCGGCTTATGAACCGCCCGTCGAGTAATAAATCCGAAGAGATACCAAACGTCTCTCGATCTAACCCGCATGCTGCGACGCACTCATCGGTCTCCACCCAACTGGCGATCCTCGTCGCCAGCACACTGGAACTGCGGCACGTGTGGTCCTCCTTCTGTCCACTCCCTTGCGCACGCTTCTCCAGCACGCAACGTAGACCGGAGGAAGACACAGCGAAGGCACACGTGCTACTGTCCAGTTGCTTGCACGTAATCCCTCCTGCAAACAGAATTTTTTTACTCTTAAGTCGAGCTCAAAGTCGGGTCATTTAAACCCCTAAAGATCGAGAGATTATTAGGTGCGGAGTGCGGACGGCGAGAACCGTCCGCAACAAGTATTGGGTACCTAGCGGTACGGTACCCAACGGAAACCAGTGGTACCTAGTGTTTGTGCGGACGGTACACACTCCTCACCTAATAATTTTTCCAAAAGATCATCATAAGACATCAAAAGAAAAAAATTTCAGATATTAGGGAATGATTTTAACTAGCTAACGTTACCCAGGACACCGGAGACAAAGAGGGCAAAGGCGAGAAGCAGAGAGAAGAAGGCTTCGGAGATGGAGGAGGCCATGGCCGCTTGATCTGAAGCTTTAGCTTAAGGGTTGAGAAGAATGGAGAAGGAGAGCAGATCTCTTCTGCTCTTCTTCTTCAGATGCTTGAATAAAGCTCCTATTTGAGATACTTATATATGTATATGGAAAGGAGGTCTAAGCATTAATTTAAGCAGTGGCATTAGGTTTGGGAGATCTGAAAATGTCTGAAGCTTCCAAATGGACATATAATTAAAAAGCAGGTTGTTTAACACTTTAGAATTTGTTTTTGAGTTAAATATATGAAAATATTAAATTTTAATTTGACATTGAGAACTGTTCGTATGATGACAATTAAAAACTTTTTTGAGATTGAAAGATTCAAATTATTGGAAAGCTGTAACGGATACATCCAACGGATATGCCAAAGGAGCATAGCTGATATGAACTTCAACGCATAAGAAGCAACGAAAAACGTCTTGAAAATTTGAAATATTCTTAATATTTCAATGTAATTTGATGAAGTTCTTCAAGCTGCAACTTCATATGCTCATCTCTCATCATTCAATGCGACAGCAAATCATAAATGTCAACTTCGATCTGTAGAGAAGAAATTGTCAACGAGCATTCAGAGAAGGCACTATGTCATGCATGTGCTCGGTACCACGGCTCGGTACTGCTCAGTGCAATTTCGTATTGCTGACGTGGTGCAATATTCTGATTGATCTCTGAACAGTATTTTGCATCCTGTCTCCACAAAGAATAATCTCCACCTTCACAAAGATTTGAAAGTAAAAAATTATGAGGCCTAATACAATAATTAAGCCTCCATTATGTGTATTATAAAATTAAATATCTGTCTTCGCTAAATAGTTTGGTAAAATTTACTACAAATTAGACATAAAAATTCTAAACTAAGGCTTCGTTTGGGATAGCTTTTTTACTATTTTCTAAAACAAATTTCTAGTACAAAAATTTTTAATTCAAGAACTTTTTTATTAAAAAATTGCTTTAGAAAGCAGTAAGAAAACTGCCCCAAACGAAGCCTAAATGGATGTTTGATGATTATATTGTTATAACATAAGTTTGCTTTGTGATGGTGCTAATAGTAGTATTGGATAAAGCTAAATCAACTTAGGTTTAGATGAACAAGACTATTTTAGTGAGTAGTGTTAGAGTATACTCTCAGCATTTATTATTTATCCTGTTCTACTTAATGTCAACATGAGTAAGGTAGCACTTCCCTGCTCTTTTCTGGTTGTTGCTGCGACAGCAGGCTTTAGCCGTTATTTCCAGTATTGGTCTCCTGTACTAGGCATATATGCTTGTCCTTATTTCACCAAGAGTAATACACGAGATCGATGGCCATTCTCTGTGAAAGCTAGCTCTCTTCTTCTTGCTTGCATTCTTTGTTTTCCTCTTAGCAAGTCTCGAAGATGGACGTTCACAAGTAGGATATAAGGGTTTGTTCAGAACGATTGCTGCTTTCTTTAAATCTGAATCATCTGATGGTAAAGTTATTGTGGTGAAAATATATTTTTAAAAACTACTATAAAAATAACTTCTTAACGCATAAATTTCTTTAAAGAATTAGCAAAATAAAATTGTAATTATAATCTAAAAAATATAACAATAAAAAGGTTGTCCTAAACAGACCCTAAGGCTCCCTTAGCGTCACTAGAAAACCAACTTGAAATTTACATGATAGGTTTAGTGATAAAGGTTGGACAAACATAAATTTGTCCATTTAAGAGCATCAAATGAATTAAAAACTAGTCAAGAAATGGATTCTTGGAAGGACAGAGTTGGCTAAAACTAAATAAAAATATTGGGAACAAATTGACTATACCAATTGTTTTAATTTGGCGTGTTTTAAGTTTGATTTGGTTTAGATTTGACATTTATGTAAACTTACTTCGTTTGATTTTGATTTAGAGTATTGTAAAATTGAAATAAATCAATTTGAATTGATTAAGCATTAAAATTATATAATTATGAACTATATAGTTAATTTCTATTACTTAATAGCTCTTTAATTAATTTAGATTAATTCATAATATTCCTTCTTTGATGCAACACAAAATCTTATGTATATGTATTTTAATGATCCATCAATCTAAAATACACTTTCCAAATATCAAATCAAATTTATCTAAAATTATTTAAAGCCAAAATGAATCTAACAAAATTAAACTCAAAAGACAAAAATATTATTCCAAAAGATTAAGTTCTTAAACTTAAAACTAGATCAAAACTAAACCTAACCCCTACCTTTTTAGTACCAAAAGAATTGTGATCCGCTAGAGAATTTGATTTTGATTAAGAAACACTGCAGGAAAAATATTACTTTTCGGTGGAATTACTGGTGGAAATAAATCCATCAGAAATTTCGATGGATTTTCCGGCATATTTTTTGTGAAATATTTCTGACAAATTCCCGATGAGATTTCCAATAGATTTATGGCGGATTTCGACAGAAATTAGAATTTTCTAGAAAATAATTAGAATAAATATTTATAATTATTCATTTGTTAAATTAAATTAAACAAATTAATAACTTATTGTCAAATTAAAATGATTAAATTAAATCTTATTAAATTAAAATAAATAATTAGTTTTGATCGTTATTGTTATGTTAAATTAGCTAATTTAAATTAATTAATTAGCTAATCTAATAAATATTGTTAAATAGTTTTTAAAATAAATATTATTAAATTAAATTATTACCCTTAATTATTTGACTTTTTTTTATTTGAGTACCTTAATTAATAACATCAGAATTGGGTGATTTAAGGTTCATTCAATTGATTTACTCGTGATATATTTTCTGACTATAATTTTATTGAAAAATAGAATTCAAATGATCCTAAAATCAATTCTAAAAATTATTAATTTAAATACTTGCGGCAAAATTTGATGATTTTTTATTGGGTGACATATGTATGTGTGTGTATTGCTTCTAAACTAACTACTGATTAACATATTTGCAATCATAATATTTTATTTATAAATGTGATCTAACAAAAGCAATGTCTACAGTAGTTGAATGAGGATGATATAAAGATATCATATTTTTATATAAGATCATAAAAATATTAAACATAAATATACTGATCGACATATTGATCACTCCACAAGTGGTGAATACTCATAGATCGTTAATTGGATGATGAAAGGCAAAATTGACATATGACTAGTGGCTAGGGGTGCAAATTAATCGAGCCGAGCTTGAGTCATTCCCAACTTGAGCTCGCCTCACGAGCCAAAATTCCAAGCTCGAACGCGAGTCGAGCTCAAAAGGCAAGCTCGAGCTCGATAGCGATAATGGATGCAGGCTCATGAGCAAGCTCGTGAGACGTAAGAAGAACGAACGACTCTTCCACTTCCGAGCCCGCTTCCAATGTCGTGTATGCGACATGCTTCCGATTTCGCTTGCACGCTTCGATTTAGGCTTTTGTGATTTTACCTTCTGAGTCCTCCCCTGTTGTTTTGCCTTCCACGCTAGAGCCCGCCCCACAATTTTGCCTTTTGCCTTTATCCTTTGATTGGCTTTCGCGGTTCTGCTTCCGCACTCGAGCCGCTCTACAAATAATTGAGTCGAGCATCATCTTGATCGAATTGAGCTTGATAATCCAACAAGCTCGAAATTCTACTCTAGTTCGAGCTCGAAACTCGGTAAGCTCGACTCGTGAGCTCGTTAACGAATCAACTTCGAGCCGGCTCGTTAGTCGACTTGACTCATTTGCACCTCCACTAGTGGACGAACAAGAAAATGACAAATCTTCAAAGGGCAAGAGCCCATTTGAAGTCAACTTCGAGCAATGTGTAGTTGATCAACTAAATGAAAGTTGAATAAGCAAAATTTGATTGTTAAAGAAGATCGATTATGAAAGAAATGGTCAAATAATACACAATGAGTGAGAGCACAATGGCCCCTCATGATAAGAGTAGATTGGAGGATCCATGCTTTATCATGACCAAATAAGGGCATGTTGGTAGTAGTTAAGGGTGTTGGCATGCTCAGCACCAGTAATTGGTGTAGGAGTCTACTTTGTTGACCTCAGTTAACTACTGGAGTGGCGTTATATGCTACTGCAAGCATCCTTCCCGCGGTGTCAGGACGAGTCCGGAAGATAATTTGGACGCATCATATCACTCAATGCACAGTGCATTGAATGACGTGGTGTGTTCGGATTAGCCTCCGGACATGTTCGGACACCGCACTGAAAAATATTTCCCTTAAATGAGAATGAAAACAATTTTTTTTTCTTATTTTTTTTATTTGGTTCGTCTGATCAAACTAAATTTAGGCCAGTCTTGGTGCCAATTTTGACTTCTATTTAGTAAATCCAACACAATTTTTAGTATTTTATATCAAAGAAGTTTTATTCTCACAACAATCATTACAATGTAGAGTTGCAAATGAGTTGTGGCTATTGGAGGTAGGCTCGTTAACAAGCTTATGAGTTAAATTTAGTCTTCATTTGCAACAATTTTTTTACTGTTTTTTGTTAAATAATTTTCTAGCACAAAGCTGAGTTGAGAGCAGCTTCCAGACTGCTTTGCTTTTCAGATCGTAACCACGATTTATATTTGGCTACCATTTTTTTTATTGATTTCAAGATTTTTTTTTTTTTTTTGTGCTAGGAATCTGGTTTCTACAACAGCTTTTAAAAACGTTATTTTCCCCCATAATAAATTTACAGTCATCGTTATTGATACGGCATCGCAAAATTATCTTGATCAGGCACGAATCTCGAGGCAAAACCTAGTTGGAAACTTCAAAAGATAATTTCGGGAGCATATGAACTCCGATTTCAGCGAGCTTACAGTCAAACTGAGCGTCTCGGAAATACAAACCCAACGACACCAAGATCAACCCAATCCGAGCCCAAATGAGTCCAAATCAAAGGTTCGAAGCGCTGTTGGGAGGTTCAAACCGCAATTTGAGTTACCAAACGGTCTCCGATTTTGACGAGCTTAGAACCCGACCCGCTTCGGGTCCGGGTCAACCCGAACCTGACCCGATTCGGGTATATTT